TAGGCCAGCTAATTTTCACAACAGGTGCCAAGCAAGTCTAAGGACGACACGGAGCAGCGATCGAAGAGAATATCGTAAAGGGGACAAAAAGTCGTGTTTGAAGCATAACACAAAGTCGTGAAAAAGATCGAGGTTCAAACGCAGTCGGGCAACATACAAAACACGGCAAAACCCACGGATGGTATATTGCGGAAAATATTGAGCCCAATTCTCATGATAAAAAATTCTTTATGAATATCAGCAAAAATATCGGCACACACCTAAAACCACCACGCATACGTTGGAAAAAAATGCGAAAGACAGAAAAGGAGGGTTGGAGGGGAAAAGAGGAAAACCTCAGCTAACGTGTGGACTACACAGGATCACAGAACGGAGAGCACAGACAGAATTAGCAAAGCTAAGGCAAAAAATCCGCAAGGGGCACATGGCGTTGTGGACAGGAGAGCGTGCGCTAAGACCGTGTGTCCTGCAGCAGCAGCAGCCGCAGCATGTAGAATTCAGAATTTGTATAAGTAGACGAGTGAACTAGTCATGCCTACTTACTTTCACTATGTTTAACCACATTAACCAGTAATGCAAAGGAAAGTCAAGTACGTAGGTAAATTGCGTTGAATCTTTCTATGCAGACTGCCAGTCTGTTCTGAGAATTAGAGGCATTCTGGAGGAAATATGGATCCCATGGCGGCCATGTCGTCGTCGTCGTAGTCAGCAGCATTCTTGCATTGTACTCACCATCCTCCTCTTCCCCCTACCCCCCTCTGGTCACTTTCAGGCTAATTAGCATAATGGTCTGCGCGTTGGATACCGCTGGGATGGGCCCAAAGCACTAGGTGACAAATCGTTTTCATACCGTTGCCAGTGATCCTTGCATCGAGGAGGACTGACCCATTCATCACAATGGCTCAAGAACCCTTGCTACTTGTCGACAAACGATGCAACAGTCAAAGACGTTATCTCATCGAACAAGATAGACATTTGTACCGCAAAGCCTTACAATGGAGGCGTTCTTCAGTGCAAGCCAGCATCGCTAGAACCTTCAGAAACCGATTCAATCCTCTCTCCTACCAAACCAGACTACGTAGATATGCGCAATGAGAGAGACTGACTAGATATTCGAGAGGAGAACACGTAGTTAATGGGTCAGTTAATCATTTATTGTCGTAATTCACAGACATTGGTCATGCATATTTACCAACCCCAACCCCAACCATGATGGTGGCAACAGTGGTGATGATGGTGGCAGCAGCGACGCCAACAACATCCGTGGTGGTGATGACAGCCACAGCCACCCCACCAACCGCCGCCGCAGGCTGGAGACACTGCACCCTCGTTTTCCACCTTCGCACTCACCTCCCCCTCTGGTTCCTCCTCCTCGTCCCCCTTCCTAACCGTTTTCGTCAGGGTCATCTGCGCCAGGACTGCCAACACCAGCAATGTGAGAAGGAGTTTCATTGTCTTAGGTTGAGCTGCTGTAGAAGAGCTGACGACTCAACCACAAGCACCACTACCCTTCCTTTTATAGCTGGATTAGGGAGGAAGAATTTATGGGTTTGTTTGACACTGAGCTACAGGAATGCCTTTTGTTACTTGGTAGTAAGCGAACATGTGCGTAAACAAGGCGAGTGTTGCTGTTGCTGTCTGAGTTGATTTTGGCGTATGGTAGATGATTGAAGTAGGGAGAATGCTCGATGGCTTGTTTTGAGGATTAAGCATGTTGATGTTTACTGATGTTATTGTGGACGGAGGGTTGGTTTTCATTGTGGTGTCCAAGTCTTGCCGTTGCATAATTTCGACTCTTGACACCGGCTATTTCTTATTAGGCTCAAGGGAGACGGACGGCGTGGCCATTTCTGGCTTACTTCCCGTCATCAGTCAACTTTGAGGTTTGGGAAGACCTGTGACTCCAATGCACAGTCTTTTGATTCTTATTATTCCTACGCGCTTACCACTGATCAGTGCACTGACTCCTTCTGCTGTCGTTTTTGATCTGTTCTATTATTTATTTTGGTTTTTTTCTTTCGTCATTAATTTTCTCATTTTTTTGATCTCTTCTCTGCCGTGTTTTTGGAATTTCTACTTTCTTCATCATTTATTGACCTGGTTACATTTTTTTCTACATTTCCTTGCTTGAGGTACTGCCTTATGCTGTTGATCGTACTCCGTTTGTGGGAAATAGGGTGGTTGTTCTCACATCCTCCCTCACCAGCATCTCACCGCACATCAAAATCACCCACTGCAAGCCCCCCAACTGCCACCTTCAACTCAAGTGGTAAGTGTGTGTCTCGACTCTTTCGCCATGCGGCTCCTCTGCTGCATGTGTGATCGGAGTCTGAGACGAAGACGGTACGTTGAGCTCCTTGGCTCGGATACCAGCCAACTGACGCCTCAACTCAGTCCGCACAGTCTGCCCAATTTCGTGTGTTTTATGGAATGGCGAACTGGCGTATAGGTTTCTTTGCGGTAGACAGATGTGTGCAATTTTCCATCAGTCTTTCGCTGCACGAGAACATCTAAAAACGGGAGTTCTTTGTCAACTTCTTTCTTGAGTGTAAATTTAATTCCCGACATTGTTGAGTTGATCGTTTTGTGGAGCGTTTCCAGTTGATCTTATTTGACGATCACAAATGTGTCGTCTACATATCGCAACCACAACTTGTGTTTAACTAATGGAAGAGCCTTGGTCTCTAGTTTTTGCATAGCAATCTCGGCGAGGAAGCCAGAGATAGGTGAACCCATTGGGGCTCCTTTCAGCTGTTGGTAATATTGTTGGTTAAACGAAAAATTAGTTTCCATAAACAGGTCTATGAATTCGAGTAAGGCAGTAGCGGGAACATCCGTGCCATGGGATTTCAGGAGATCCTCCGTGTATTGTTTTGCCAAATCCAATGATATGGACATAAAGAGGGAGACGACATCAAAGGAGACCTTGATCTCGTCGGCAGAACCTGTGATTCCTCTTAATCTCTTTAGAAACTCTGTTGAGTTCACAATCGAAGTTTCACAATTCCTCGTAAGTTGATGAAGTTGATGGAAGAGTCACTTGGAAATCTTGTAGTTGGGTGCCCCAATTAACGACACAATCTCTCGCAAAGGCACTTCAGCTTCGTGGACTTTTGGTAGTCCATAGATCCTAGCGATGGTGCGCTCAGTTTTTTTCAGGTACTCAGCGATGTCTCCCGACAGTTGTTTTTTCCCTGTGGGGCGCTTCAGCACTTTATCAATAGACGAAGTTTGTGCTTTGGTAGGGTCCGCGGAGATCGGTTTATAAGTAGATCTGTCTTCTAGCAAGTATAGCATCTTTGCTTTATATTCCGCTTTATTCATAATCGCAAGAGAGCCGCCTTTGTCAGCTGGGAGAATAAAGTGGAATATAAGGCGGACTATAAAGCAAAGACGCTATCCTTGCTAGAAGACAGATCTACTTATAAACCACTCTCCGCGGACCCTACCAAAGCACAAACTTCGTCTATTGATAAAGTGATGAAGCGACCAACAGGGAAAAAACAACTGTCGGGAGACAATGCTAAGTACCAGAAACAAACTGAGCCCACCATCGCTAGGATCTATGGACTACCAAAGTCCACAAAGCTGAAGTGCCTTTGCGACCGACTTTGTCGTTAATTGGCGCACCCAACTACAAGATTTCCAAGTGGCTATTCCATTAATGATACGTTTCAGCTAGCCGAGCTAGAACAGGCCACCTGCACACAGATAAGAGCATGCTTTTCACTAAGTCGTTAACGTTACCAGAAGATGCAGATGTGCGTAAGCGGTTACTCGCCCAGCTAGACCAGAAAGGCGATATGACAGTACAGGAACTGGCAGAGGAATGTGTCCGAATCACAAATATCAAGCAAGATACCCGGCTTATTGGAAGCACAGTTAGTCAGCCAGCTTACGTTTTCGACACAAAAACGAGACAACCACGACCGAACAGAGTTTCCCCACGGAAGCCAAAGACAGCTTGTTGGCTGTGCGGCGGTTGGCACTACGTGAGCGAATGCCCCTATCGTAGTAGGAAGTGCTACCAATGTTCCCGTGTTGGCCATAAAGCTGCACATTGCAGAGCAGCGCACGCTAGCCCAAGAAAGAATTGTCATGTCATTTTAGAAGACGATTCGCAAGTACTCAATTGCGAACACCGGAAATACTTGACAGTGAAAATTAACGAGAAGCCGACCGCATTACAAGTAGACACAGTTTCTGATCTGACCATAATCAGTATGCGCACATGGGAGGACATCGGTTTTTCCAGAACTGAGACCATCAGATATCATAGCATGGGCGTCGAACGAGACGCGTATGGATTTTGAAGGCGTTTTTCAGGCGACTGTCAGTTTTCGAAACATGACTTGCCTCGCAGATATCTAGGTGTCGAAGACCCGTATCAATCTTCTCGGAAATAAAACGATCTCCGAACCGGGATTGTGGAACCGTCCCTTCGACGAAATTTGCAGCGCGGTGCACAACACTACTGAAGAGGTCCTGAAGAATAAGTATATGGAGCGCATGGAGAACGCGGCGGGCAGGTGCACGAAGACGAAGATAAGTTTGAAAGTGAAGCTAGAGAAAACGCCAATTTTCAAGCAGAGCCGACGGGTCCCGTTTGCGGTACAGTCGTCCGTAGAAGCTGAACTAGAAAGACTACAGGCAAAGGGCATAATCTATCCTACCAATTATTCAACTTGGGCTGCTCCAGTCGTGGCGGTGAAGAAACCCAACGGACAAATAAGATTATGTGCGGATTATTCCACGGGCTTGAACGACGCACTAGAAGATTATCATTACCCGCTGCCAACCTTAGAGCAGATTTTTGCTACTCTAAATGGGGGAAAGTCTTTGCAAGAATCGATCTATTCGAAGCTTACTTGCAAATCGAGGTGGACGAGAAATCGCAGGAACTTTTGACCATTAATACGCATAAAGGTCTCTTCAGATACACTCGTTTAAACTACGGCGTGAAAACGGCACCTAGTGTGTTCCAGCAGATCATGGACACGATGCTGACAAATTTTCCCGGGACTATTGCATACCTGGACGATATTTTGGTAGTCGGTAGCTCAGAGGAAGAGCTGACTCAAAGACTGGACCAGGTTGTGGACAATCTGATCGACTACGGCCTTAAGATCAATATGGAGAAAAGTGAATTTTTGCGGAAGGAGATCCACTATCTCGGGTTCATAATTAACAAGAATGGGCGTGCACCTGACCCAAAGAGAGTGAAGGCATTCCAGAACATGAAAGTGCCGAAAAACACGAAAGAGCTGCAATCGTTTATGGGGTTGGTCAGCTACTGCGGCCCCTTCATCCCTGGTTTGCACAGTTTAGAACCTCCACTCAGCCGACTTATGTGCAAGGACGTGGAGTTTGTTTGGTCTCCAGCATGTCAAAGGGCATTTGATGCCATAAAGACAAAGATATGCGACTCGACTATGCAATCGCACTTCGAAGCTGACAAAGAGACCACTGTCCAGGCAGATGCCTCTGATTACGGTTTAAGCGGAGTGCTCCTTCAGAAGGACGCAGATGGGAGAGTACAGCCAATCATGCATGCCGCCAGGTCACTGACGAAGGCAGAACGGAATTATAGCCAGATCGAAAAGGACGCACTGGCTCTTATCTTCGCCGTACAGAGATTCCACCTGTTCATTTATGACAGACCCTTCACACTGCACACTGATCATCAACCACTGAAGTTCCTTTTGGGTACTAACCGTGGTGTTCCCCAGAAGGTAGCTAGGAGAATACAACGCTTGAGTACTATTCTTCAAAACTATGACTTTAAGATCCAATATGTGCCCACTCAGAAATTTGGAGCTCCGGACGCCTTATCACGACTGAGTGAAGGCAACGAAAATTAAGAAGACGTGGTTGTCGCCAACACGATAATGCAAGATGATGACGAGTTTAAAGGTGTCATTTGGCAGTTGCCGTTTCACAGCAGACCCCCTTTTGCGTCAGGTGAAAGAGTTTATTCGGAACGGTTGGCCCAGCGACGACAAAGTACACCCGTCGATAAAGCCTTGCAGGAACAGAAAGGAACAGTTGTCTATCACGGAAGACTGCATAATGTGCGATGGTAAAGTGGTGATCCCAGCCAGATACCAACAACAAGTTTTGCGGGAGCTCCATGCCGGACATCAGGGTATGACCCGCATGAAACAACTGGCCCGCAAGTACGTATATTGGCCGGGAATTGATAACGACGTGGAGTCTTTCGTTCGAAGCTGCGGCCCGTGTGAACATGAAGCTAAGAACCCACCGAGATTACCGCCCGTGCCATGGCCAGAGGTAACGAGACCTTGGAGTAGAGTCCATATGGACTTCGCGGGTCCGTTTTTTAACCGAATGTTTCTAATAGTTGACGATGCATGGTCCAAGTGGCTAGAAGTTTTCGACGTCTCGGCAGCGACCGCTGATCTCACGACAAGGAAGACGGAAGAAGTAATAGCGAAATACGGCATCCCCACGGAGATTGTGACGGATAACGGCACTCAGTTCGCGTCATCGGTTTTCCAACAACTGTGTCAGAAATGGGGGATTCGACATGTGACGTCACCACCATTCCATCAACAATCGAATGGCCAGGCAGAAGGTTTCGTCGACACGTTCAAGAGACCGATGAAAAAGATGTGGAACACTGGTGATAAACTGGAGTATCTCAACACATTCCTTTTTGCCTATCGAACAACTCCAAAAAGTGATCTTCGTGGCCAGACACCAGCCGAACGGTTTTTGGGACGACAGCCGGATACGCGACTACAGTACCTACAACCGGGAGCTCGAGTTCCAAAAACAACAAAGCATTAATTTCGCGAGGGAGAGGAGGTGTTTGCTCGCAACTACAAAATCCAACAGGAACCCTGGATAGAGGGTATAATAAGAAAATCCAGAGGTGTTGTGTTTGACGTGGAGACAGCAGCCGGAAAAATAAAGAGGCATGCTAATCAGCACAGGACTAGATATACCAGAGACAGCCAAATGGCACTCGACCTGCTGTGTGCTACCTTCGAGGTACCGACCCCCAAGGTAGACAGTCAGACAACACTACCTGTTGTTCGTAGAAGTAGCAGAAGAACGCAACCACCAAGGAAACTGGTCTTGAACCAGAAGAAGAAGAGGTACGAGGTCCAACTTTCAAAAGCGGGAGGTTTCATGGAAAGTGAAAGCGGCGTAGAGCCACGGCTTAAGGCGCTGAACAGGGAACCACGCCGACGGCGCGAGACACGCGTGAATTTAGACGGCCAACCGGCGTGCACTGCAGGGCCGAGCACGTGTGGTGGTTTTGCGCACGCGTGCGGCCCAAATCAATGGCTGGTCGAACATTCAAGACGTCTCCACCGGGAGGCCATCGCGCACACGTCAATGGACGGAATGTTCTAGAACGCACAGGAGCCACTATAAATAGCGCATCTGTCTTACGAGTCATAACCTCCTTCAAGTCCGCAAGTTCCCAATAAAGCACTTGTCCTCCGAACCGATTTTATTCCTGTCCAACCTTCTACCGTGTCATAACAAACAACATGGAAGAGAGGGAGGGTAAAACGATGGGAGGAAAAATGAAAAGATCAAACGGCGTCTGTGGGTCTTATGTGCTACGGAGGACTTCCTGAGTCCTTAAGCATTTGTTTGATCTCAAGGAAGGGAAAAACGTCTGAATAGGTAATAACCTGGATTTAAACCTTTAGTGAATACCGACTAAATGTAATATCAAAAAGGGTTTTGATGACGCAAATGGGTGAAATCTATCAAACAAGCCACATCCTACGTCTTTCATAAGCTGCTAAAAGTATTCAAAAAGTACAAATTTGAAAGAAAAAATATGAACAAAAGGAGCACATGCAGGCGGAAAAGGGGAGGACACCACAATTGCCAATAGGCTGGACCAGCTGTGCAGCGGTACTCCCTCGAGCAACTAATCTCTGAATCCCAGTTGACAGCCGTTATCCGGGCATACCGGTGTGTTCCCTCTAAGTTACATTCATCAGGGTCGATTATGCTTTTCAGCAGACGATCAAATATTATGTTCAACCCACAATTAACAACACGTCGATATTATAGTGAATAGTCAGTCAAATTGTAAAGAAGCCAGCATGAGTTCAACTGCACTTTTATCAACTTTTATTTCTTTAACGTCACCGAGCCCCTAGAGTGTGTCAAATATTCTGCCCTGTCGGTTAGATGTGGTTATGCAGCCCCACCAGATGGACACAGAACTGTTGGGATTGTGGTTAGGAGTTAGAAGTTGGGTCAACCATTTCACAACCGGTCAAATTGGAACCGCGCATTCCCAATAGTTTTTCTTTTGCATACAGTTACTTGACCCCGTCGCCTGTGCGTTTCGCGGTCCCATCTGGTAAAAGCCCTATTACTACCGGTCCCATATTCAGGTGGCTGGGGTTTGTTTACTGCAGGTAGGGCTACATAACCGCATCTGACCACCTTGCCTTCAGTCGTGTGACATGTGTTCGAATTGTTTGCAGTAGTGTCTGATGCCAACTAAAGTTGTCAGATGTTGTGTGCGATCAACCCGGAATTTGTTTACTCGATTGCTTGTGTAGGCAGAAGTAACAAAAAGAATACTATTTTCTGGGGAACGTTATCTGCGCGCGTCAATTAACGTTCCCTAATCGCACTCCCCGATAGGGTAAAAAAGGGAGAGCGGATTGGGTGGCTGCATCGTCAAAGCAAACAGGACATCAGAAGGGATGACACTGAAACCATTGCTAGCAATTTTACTTCTCGGCGTGCTGGTGCAGATGACCCTGGCGAAGACTGCGAGGAAGGAGGAACCAGAGGAGGATCTGTCGAAGGGGGAGGTCAGTGCGAAGGAGGACGAGGGTGCAGTGTCTCCAGCCTGCGGTGGCGGTTGGTGGGGTGGCTGTCATCACCATCACGGATGTTGCTGGCGTCGCTGCTGCCACCACCATCATGGCTGCGGCTGGGGTTGGGGTTGGTAAACACGCATAGTGCGTCATTTCCTGCTAGCCAATAAAGAGTTTGTCACTTACTTGTGCCTTGTCTGCTTGAACTACATGTCAAATCTGTGATGTCAAAGAACTGTTTGGATTTACATCAAAAGATTAGTTTTGAGCTGGAGTTCTTGTGGAAATGCGGACTAGGAAGGGCGAAATTTAACTAACCACCCAACCGTCCTTCTCTTATAATCCAAGCCTACCGTACTCAGTGTGGCCGTACTAACTCCGGCCTTGCTGATACGCGGAACCATTGTTAACAGAGTGCTGGGCATTTTCTTACATCTGCTATGTGTAATAGTGTATTTTAGGGTAATAGGCAATGCACTTGCTGACCATATTGTAAACGGCACATACAATATAAATGTTAAATCCACGTCTTACTAAAATGTTGTGAGTAACTGATTTCTTCACGGCAAACGTTTTTTTTCAGCACGGGGCTGCGAAGTGTGCGGCAGGCAGTCGTTTAAATGTACTCATGAAATTTCGAGTGCAGTTATATACAATCAGCATAATGTGCATTCATTTGCATAGTTTGAGAGGGAAAATTTCATTAAAAGTCAGGGATGTGTTAAGTAGGGATGAAATCAAGAAATGAAATTTACGGCTGGCCGCAGATTGGCCTGCAGTGAGAGTCGTCGTTTATCAAAGATCAAACGATCCAGCTGCCTTTTGAATACAGCCATTGTATCAGATGCCACCATTTCACTTGGGAGTAAGGTCCACGGTCGAACAACACGCTGGATGAAGGAAAACTTCCGATGGTCTAGGCGTGTACGCTCCCGCTTGACTTTGTACGGATGAGCGCGCAGGTGACTCATGGTCGTGAATTCAAAGACCTCTTCGGTTTTGAGCGAGCATTCATGCCCGCGGATAATGCGGAATGTCCATAACAGTTCACGCCTCATTCGTCTATAGGATAGGGTGAACAAATTTAGATGGATCAGTCGTTCTGGGCATGAAAAAAGGTATGAAGCTAAGAAAAGGACAAAGTCTAGTTTTTAACCATCGGGATGGCGATGCTGGTCACTGGACGCCGTGGTGTGGCGTTGTGGTTTGATGGGGTTTTTACGGCACTTTCGTGCCCCATACAGTGGTTCGGTGCGTTGTGTGCGAACCCGGCCTGTGTGTGGCACACACACTGTCGGGTTGCTTAGCTCTATCATCGCCTGTGTCCGCACCCACCGATGGCTGTTTCATCATTGTCTTGCTCTTGGGGTCAGGTGGGTGAAGGAAGTGTGCGTGGCAGATACTGCGCTAGCCAGCAAATGTTTCCCTAGTCAGACCGGCCCTACGTGATACCGAATGCTGAGTAGACCCCTTTTTAAGTTTGTCATGGGAGCAACAGTCGAGAATGAGATATATCATTGCCGTCCTGCGCAGTCTCCTTAGCCATATGTTTGCATACTGGTGACCATCTTGACTTATGCTCTGGCTAGGGAAAGAGAGTAAGAACTCAATTCTGTAATGGCTGGCTTATTTGTCCCCCAAAAGGGAATCCTTGCAGGTGTTCATAGTATTGAGGAAAACAGAATTTATGCTGGCCCTTGCGGAAGCCCAAATGTCTGTTGGATAGCATTTCCGATGAGGAAAACGGTCGCGACTGGGCCCTGTTCCTCATCGGATCCTGCTTCCACACCGTGTGCTCTCAAGTTGGTTGCCATGCCGCAGTGTATGCTTTAAACTGCCATCAGAGTGTCTGCTGTCCTCGGCTCCGCGGGGACAAACTTGCCCGTAGTTTTGGGAGGCAAAAACAGTCACCCTCAACTATATGGCGGTGAAGGCGTGGGTGGTTATAGCGGTTGAAATTGCCGGGTTTGTCATGGGAGGAATAGTCGTGGATGAGTTATATCGTTGCCGTCCTGCGCAGTCTACCTAGTTTGCATACTGATGACCATTTTGACCTATGCTCTGGCTAGGGAAAAAGAGTAAGATCTTAATTCTGTAATGGCTGGCTTTTTGTCCCATGGAAGCGAATCTGTGCAGGCGTTCATAGTATTGAGGAAAACAGAATTGATGCTGGCCCTTGTGGAGGCACAAATTTCGGGTGGATAGCGTTTCCGATGAGGTAAACGGTCGCGACTGGGATCTGTTCCTTACCGCATTCTGCTCTAAGTTAGGTGGAAAAAACCTCCACTGTGATTCTCGGACACGTTCCAGTGTTTTGGAAATGTTTCCGGACTAGTAAAGCCTAGATTGCATCGTCTGAACCTACGGTGTCTCACTCAGAATTTTGACGGGGAGTGTTTTATGTTATTTGTGCATATGCTCCCCCGGCGTCACTTCCCGCTTAGAATGACCCCCAACCCTCTAGCGCCCAAACTTGCGAATAAACGAAATTGCAAAAAATGGCGGTATGAGCACCAACCGATGGCATAGGCGAACAAAAACGCCAACATTGTACTTAGGCGTGAATTTAAAATATACCGACATAATAACATTACCAACAAAGACAAGGGAGACTGGTCGTTGTCGGTAATGCCATTCTGCCTATATCATACGCAGCTGTGCGGCTGCTGGGTGGGATCGAGAGAAAGTCCGTAAGGCACAACGGAACGAGTGAGTTTCGTAAGAACGATCGGTGAGCGCCCCCTTCCAGTTCAAATATACCGCCTAATACTGAACCTTATGACTGGCCTTAGTCATAATGTCCAGCATTAGCTCACATACCCAGCCTTTATTCTTAAACTACAAACGAATTTAACTCCAGCCTAAATCCAGCAAAATGTAGGTGTTAATTTTAGGCAGGGGAGATGGCGACTAATGAATCTGGACCTACGTCTCCTGCCAGACGTAAATTACATCAATGCAATTCAGGGCGTGAAAACCATCATGTCCTAGACTTAAGCCCAGCTCGCCAGCACATTCATCTCCTCTACACGTACTTGCCTTGCTGAATTTATTCCAGGTGCATTACAGTTCAAGGAGCTGCACAACAGATTCAGTCGACCGAAGTGGGGTCCGGATGACTTGGCGCAGGCGTTGACCGGGAAGAGTGCGGAGTCGGCTCACAAGTACCGCCGTCTATGCTTGTAGATGTACACCTTTTTGCCTCATACGCCGCACCATCCATTGCACCCAATTCCATCATAAGTTGGTTGTGAGACTCGGGCAGTCGACTAGAGCGAGAGACGTCAACTCTGGAGAAATCGTCCTCACGGCACATTTGCGTATCTTATACAAGTATGAATCGACGATGCTAAAATCCAACAACAACAACAACCACCCACATAACACACATCTAATACAGAAAGAAGATGCTTGAAATCCAGTGCGGATTAACCCCTGGCCGTCCTCTTCATAGGTGCTTAATGAGTTGGTGATATTGACGGTACGCACACGGGTACTCAGCAAGGCTCTATTAACTATGGACTAAAAGCATGTGCTGAGCAAAGGCATCCGGGAGCTGTGGAAACCTAACCAGGCTTCAAAAACTGTCTCTCTGACCCCGTCGATAAACAGAACGTCCGGACAGGCAATAGCCTGAATTTGAACTTTTCTCGAATTTCCTCATCAGGTGATATCAACAAGGGTTTCGACGATATGGAAAGTTAGAATAATCCAAACAAGCCACATTCCAGGTCTCTAATCGGTCTGCTAAGCGTAATTTAAAAATGCCAACATACAAAGGAACACCCGCAGACGGAAAACGGGAAGACCTTGCAAGTGCTGATTGGCTGGGTCACCAGTCCAAGCAATAGTTCACTCTGGCAATGTTCCCAGTCGCTTTTACTCTCTACGTTATATTATACCTTCAAGGCTGTGACAAAATATAAAATGAACTGGAATTCTTGTTGAAATGTGAACCAGAAAAGTAGGCATTAAGCCACCCAGACGACCGTCATCTATTCTGGAATCCTGCCTATTCAACGTAGGCGACATGCAACGTGGAAGAGAGTTGAATTGAAGCTGCCGGATTTTTAGAATCGCTAAATTTAAGCTGATCGATAGGGGAAACATGGCATATTCAGGGTGACCGTACTAGTCACGATCATGTTCACAGTTTACTGGGTGTTAGGAATCTCCTGGTAAGTGTTATGCGAAAGCTAAACAAAGGGCAAAGTGCGGTTTTGGTGATGAAGTTGGCGTGGCTAGACGTCATGGTGTGCCGCAGTAGTCTGTGTGATCATTGCAGCACTTTCGGGCGTGTGATATCTAAATCATTCCTACGGTGGTTTGGTACGCGATGTGAGAACACGTTCGTGCCTGCCTTGCTGAATTTATTCCAGGTGCACTGCAGTTCAAGGAGCTGCGCAACAGATTCACTCGACCGAAGTGGATTTCGGATGACTTGGCGCAGGCGTTGACCGGGAAGAGTGTGGAGTTGGCCGTGTATGCATTTAGTGGCTCGCCTTACTTGCTCTTACGCCGCACCATCCACTGCACCCAATCCCATCATAAGTTGGTTGTGAGACTCGGACAGTTGACTATAGCGGGCATGATTGACATTGTAGGACCCATTCTTGCAGCACATTAGCTTAGGCCTAACAGTAAAAAGGCCGAAGTGCTACAGTGCCATCACGACAGGCTAACAGTCGTGGCCTGGCAAAGCCGACATCTGACGGAATAGGTGAGCCCATCTTAGGTCTGAGTGTCCGGCTTCACCGACTCCTTCGTGTATTGACTGTTATGCCAGTCTGATCCACGTGAGTTCCCACCTGACCTCGCAGTGTTCTGGGCATTCTGCAGTCGCCGGCACGTTGCGTGTGCAGCACGCGTAGGTATTCTCTTTTGTATTTTTTATCCACTGCGTTCTAGCTCGGAGCGGGTATCTCGCCATTTTCCTGCATTGGAGAGATTTGAGGGAGAATGAGAGACAGAATATGATAGATGCTGCGCTCAAATCTGCCCTGTTATAAATTAGTCCACGTGCATGTCACTGGCGTTGCAAGCACTCTGTAGGGCACTCAGTGGCTTTATGTGGTTTCACGGAACTGCTTTTCGAACGAGGTCTTCGGGAGACTCACCCTAGCTCTTCCTAATACTGGCTTGGGATTTACTACTGGAAAGCTTTAACAAACTAATATGTCCTTCGCACATGGCCGTATTGTCAAACAATGGAAGATTTGAAAAGAAAGAAGATGATATCAGCAGAACTTTTGACGACATTCAAGGTTAATAGTTATCAAATAAGGTGTCTTCCAAGCCCTTGGCTTGTGCCTATGTCTGTTCTAAGTAAAGATTTTTTCAAGCAAGTGGAGAATAGAGGAGAAATAATATGAGCTACATGAAGGAGCGGGAGGCTAAAATGACGAGAGGGAAAAAGAAAAGAGCAAAAGGCGTCTGTGGGTTTTTATGTGCTACGGGGGACCTCTTGAACCGTTAAGAATTTGCTTGATCTCACAGGTAGTAATCTGGATTTAAATTTCTACTGAATATCAACTGAAGATAATATCAACAAGGATTTAAATGACGCGTATTACAGGAGGCCGCCAACATTCACAGGCGACGGCCAGTAAGCCGAGGCAGAGAAGGAAGAAAAAAAAAATCGATCAGCCCAGGGCCAACTAATGCGGCAGTCTATTCAAAAATGCTGATCGATTTTTTCACTTGACGCTTTGACAATGGAGAGCAGCCCCAGCTCTTCGAAACGTCAGCCAGAAAAGTTCCCCGATCCGGTGAGCAATTCATTCTCCTCAAATAAGCCACACTCCACGTCCTTAATTAGGCTGCTAAACGTAGTCAAAAAGTACAAATTTGAAAGCAAAAATGGCTAGATGGCGGTTGGTAGCCCTACGGTACCGAAAACTCACAGCTATCTGACTTACGGGACCTGTAGTAATAGGGGCTATACGGGTTGGGCAAATGAGTGGAGGCGTAAATGGCGCTTGTCGGGAATGCGTGGAATTGACGGAGAGATTTGAGTGAGAAGGTGAGACAGGATATGATAGATGCTGCGCTCAAATCTGCCCTGTTATAAATTAGTCCACGTGCATGTCACTGGCGTTGCAACCACTCTGTAGGGCACTCAGTGGCTTCATGTGGTTCCACTCAACTGCTTTTCGAACGAGATCTTCGGGAGATTCACCCTAGCTCTTCCTAATAGTGGCTTGGGAGTTACTTCTAGAAAGCTTAAACAAACTATTCTGGCCTTCGCACATGACCGTATTGTTAAATAAAGGAAAATATGGAAAGAAAGAAGATGATATCAGCAGGACTTTTGACGACATTCAAGGTTACAATTCATCAAACAAGGTGCCTCCCAGGGCCTTGACTTGTGCCTATGTCCGTGTTAAGTAAAGTTTTTTTTCAAACAAGAGAAGAATAGAGGAGGAAGAAGGTGAACTACATGAAAGAGAGGGAGGGTAAAATGACGGGAGGAAAAACGAAAAGAGCAAACGGCGTCTGTGGGTCTTATGTGCTACGCAGGAACTCCTGAAACGTTAAGAATTTGCTTGAACTCAAGGAAGGGAAAAACGACTCAATAGGTAATAACCTGGACACCACAATTGTCAATAGGCTGAACCAGCAGTGCAGCGGTACTCCCTCGAACAACTAATCTCTGAATCCCAGTTGGCAGCCGTTCATCCGGGCATACCGGTGTGTTCCCTCTAAGTTACATTCAACAGGGTCGATTATACTTTTCTGTAGACGATCAAATATTACGTTCAACCCACAGTTAACAACACGTCGATATTATAGTGAATAGTCAGTCAAATTGTAAAGAAGCCAGCATGAGTTCAACTGCACTTTTATCAACTTTTATTTCTTCAACGTCACCGAGCCCCTAGAGTGTGTCAAATATTCTGTCCTGTCGGTAAGATGTGGTTATGCAGCCCCAACAGATGGACACAATACTATTGGGATTGTGATTAGGAGTGAAGGGATGCGACAAACGGTCAAAGTGCAACCGCACATTCCCAAAAGTTATTCTTTTGCATACAGTTACTTGACCCCGTCGCCTGTGCGTTTCCCGGCCCCACCTGTAAAAAGCCCTATTACTACCGGTCCCATATTCAGGTGGCTGGGGTTTGTTTACTACAGGTAGGGCTACATAACCGCATCTGACCGCCTTGCCTTCAGTCGTGTGACATGTGTTCGAATTGTTTGCAGTAGTACCTGATGCCAACTAAAGCTGTCAGATGTTGCGTGCGATCAACCCAGAATTTGTTTACTTGATTGCTTGTGTAGGCAGAAGTAACAAAATGAATACCCATTTCTAGGGGACGTTATCTGCGCGCGTCAATTAACGTTCCCTATCCGCACTCCCCGATTGGGTATAAAAGAGAGAGCGGATTGGGTGGCTGCATCGTCAAGCCAAACAGGACAACAAAAGAGGTCACAATGAAACCATTCCTAGCAATTTTGATCCTCGGTGTGCTTGTGCAGATGACCCTGGCGAAGACTGCGAGGAAGGAGGAGCCAGGGGAGGATCTGTCGAAGGGGGAGGTCAGTGGGAAAGAGGACGAGGGTGCAGTGTCTCCAGCCTGCGGCGGCGGTTGGTGGGGTGGCTGTCATCACCACCACCACGGATGTTGTTGGCGTCGCTGCTGCCACCATCATTGTGGAGGCTGGGGTTGGGGTTGGTAAATACGCATAGTGCGTCATTTCCTGTTAGCCAATAAAGAGGTTGTCACTTACGTGTGCCTTGTCTGCTTGAACTACAGATCAAATCTGTGATGTCACAGAACTGTTTGGATTTACATCAAATGATTATTTTTGAGCTGGAGTTCTTGTGCAAATGCGGACTAGGAAGGGCGAAATTTAACTAACCACCCAACCGTCCTTCTCTTAGAATCCAAGCAGCATGTAACGTGGCGATGCGTTGTATTGTAGCGATGGGTGAAACATGACATTCAGTTTATTCAGTTTATTTGGTAAGGATAATAGGCAAAGCCTTTGAAAACCCTATTGACTACAGGTCAGCTCGTCAGAAATAACTGTACACGAACAAAGAATATTCACTATTAAAACGGTACTTAATTCATTTGAGTAGCATTGTCTCAGAGAAAATATTTGATAGGACGTGGGGTCTTAGTTCAGATTCAGACTGTCGAGGGAAAACAGGGGACACAAATAATCACCTAAGCGTTTCTTGAAGAGTTGCAGGGACATAGCCTCCAAGACTGACTGAGGGAGATCGTTCCATTTCTCCACGTCCCTCTGCGTGAAAAATTCAGAACGCAGATTCAGCCTGGGCATTGAACCAACCTGAATCTAAATGACCGAACACAGTAGTAGTTGGGTTTGTCGGTACTTCCAGTTAAGAAACTGGAAGATCAAATCCTACTTTCTTTTTACAAGCAGAAGTTTCCAGTAAAATATTTTAGTAAAATAGAATAGCGCAGAAATTCTTTACTCAAGATTTTTCAAGCCTTTGGAGAGTTCATAGTTCCCCTACGTTGGGTTATGCACTTTTGCTCGTGAGAAAATGAGTATTTCCCCTATAAAGGTTTCATCACACCTTAGGGTAAGGGTTTATGCCTTTTAGCATTCCGGCTGACATTCTACAATCACGAGATAGTGAGCACGTTCCGCAGGCACAAGGTCGCCTAGGACGAAAACAGTTGCTCTGTCGTGTTCCAGAGTCAGTCAGAACACACGATTGAACTGAAATATCACCGCTTTCCTCACTCCCCCTGAAATCAACCCTCAGGCCGCACTGAATTCCATGAACCACTCCAAAATCATTGTCCAATGCTTCTCATGATGCCTGTTAAAGCAGTACCAGCAGAACCAACCCACCGCATAGTCATTCCAGAATAATTCGCACATTTCTGAATTGTGAATTTCCTACTAATCCCAACTAGACACCGGGAATAAATGCTCCCCGTGTTAAAGGTGGCCTTGAGTTAAATTCCAAGTGGTTTATCTATTCCGCGTTCCAATTTCAACTCTAACCGTTCTGACCCTAATCTCAACCTCAGCCATCCTACCCTAAAGCCTGGATCGTTTAAGTACCGCGTCTTGTCCAATCTAACCATACGCCATTATGATTGGACTGTGCACCATGCCGATGCAATAGAACCCCCATTGTGATATCGTGTAAAGTTACCACGGATTCTTTTTTGTGTCCCTATAGCGCAGGCTGCCACTAAGACAACAAGTAAGGTGAGCATGCCTCTCAAATGTGCCTGAAGCACTCTAGTCTAATAAAATGGATACAATGAACAAACTCTATCGCTTCCGAGGTCGATAACCATATGCTGGCGACAGTATTTAATGAGCTTTTATGTAATTATGCATTTGTGTGGCTCATCTGCTGCGTTTGAGATTCAAGAGTTCTACCCCATGGTGTGTGTAATTCTGGTGTGGACGTTTGGGAGACAGGTCATGCATGTGGCGGCGCGGACGGACTCTCTAACTCTGTCACCCGTTGCATCCGCTTCCGGTATGAGACATTTGACCGGCTCAGTGAGTGTACCGGTGTTTAGGAGTGGAAACAGAGAGCGAAATCGGCGACTCAGCGCCTTTCCCTCACTCTGACGCGCTTGAGACTATCACGGTGTGCTAAAAACCGTGGCTTGGGAGGTTACCAACTGATGCGATGACTAGGACCTTGCAGTCGGCCCAGTGTGTATTTGTATGGAGTGGTCAACTGAGAGTCAGGCTACAATACTAGCCAGAAAATTTTGCCCTAGTCAGTCCGGCCCTACGTGATACCGAATGCTGAGAAGATCCCTTTTAAAGTTTGTCCTGGGAGCAACAGTCGAGAATGAGGTATATCATTGCCGTCCTGCGCAGTCAACTTAGTTTGCATACTGGTGACCATCTTGACTGATGCTCCGGCTAGGGAAAAAGAGTAAGAACTCAATTCTGTAATGGCTGGCTTTTTGTCCCACGAAAGCGAAAGTATCACGGTGTGATAAAAACCGTGGCTTGGGAGGTTACCAACTGATGCGATGACTAGGACTTCGCAGTCGGCCCGGAGTGGTCAACTGGGAGTCAGGCTAAAATTGCGATGCTCGTCACTAGACGCCGTGGTGTGGCGTAGTGTTTGATGGGGGTTTACGGCACATTCGCGCGCGTGTGAGATCCGAATCACCCCATACAGTGGTTCGGTGCGTTGTGTGCGAACCCGGCCTGTGTGTGGCACACACACTGTCGGGTTGCTTAGCTCTATCATCGCCTGTGTCCGCACCCACCGATAGCTGTTTCATCATTGTCTTCCTCTTGGGGTCAGGTGGTGAAGGAAGTTTGCTTGGCGGATACTGCGCTAGTCAGAAAATGTTGCCCTAGTCAGACCGGCCCTACGTGATACCGAATACTGAGTAGATCCCGTTTTAAGTTTGTCATGGGAGCAACGGTCCAGAATAAGATATATCATTGCCGTCCTGCGCATTCTACCTAGTTTGCATACTGGTGACCATCTTGACTTATGCTCTGGCTAGGGAAAAAGAGTAAGAACTCAATTCTATAATGGCTGGCTTTTTGTCCCACGGAAGCGAATCCGTGCAGGCGTTTATAGTATTGAGGAAAACAGAATTGATGGTGGCCCTTACGGAAGCCCAAATTTCGGGTGGATAGCGTTTCCGATGAGGTAAACGGCCGCGACTGGAATCTGTTACTTACCGCATCCTGTTTCAAGTTAGGTGGGAAAAACCTCCATCGTGATTCTCGCACACCTTCCAGTGTTTTGGAAATGTTTCCGGACGAGTAAGGCCTAGATTGCATCGTATGAACATACGGCGTCTCACTCAGAATTTTGATGGGGAGTGTTTTATGTTATTTGTGCATATGCACCCCTGTCGTCACTTCCCGCTTAGAATGACCCCCAACCCTCTAGGACCCAAACTTGCGCATAGTTGGCGGTATGAGCACCAACCGATGGCATAGGCAAACAAGAACGCCAACACTGTACTCAGGCTTGAATTGAAAATAAACCGACAGAATGGCATTACCGACAAAGACAAGGGAGACTGGTCTTTGTCGGTAATGCCATTCTGCCTATATCATGCGCCGCTGTGCGGCTGCTGGTTGGGATCGAGAGAGAGTCCGTAAGGCACAACGGAACGAGTGAGTTCCGTAAGAAGGATCGGTGAGCGCCCCCTACCATTTAAAATATACCGCCTAACACTGAACCTTATAACTGGCCTAAATCCTAATGTCCAGCATTAGCTCACATACCTAGCAGTCAGTCTTAAACTACAAACGAATTTAACTCCAGCCTAAATCCAGCAAAGTGAAGGTGCTAATTTTAGGCAGGGGAGATGGTGACGAATGAATCTGGACCTACGTTTCCTGCCGGGCCTAAATTATATCAATGCAAGTCAGGGCTTGAAAAGCATCATGTCCTTGACTTAAACCCAGCTCGCCAGCACATTCATCTCCTCTACACGTACTTGCCTTGCTGAATTTATTCCAGGTGCACTGCAGTTCAAGGAGCTGCACAACAGATTCACTCGACCGAAGTGGAGTGCGGATGACTTGGCACAGGCGCTGACCGGGAAGAGTGCGGAGTCGGCTCACAAGTACAGCCGTCTATGCTTGTAGTTGTTCACCTTATTGGCTCTTACGCCGCATCGTCCACTGCGACCAATCCCATCATCAGTTGGTTGTGAGACTCGGACAGTCGATTAGAGCGAGAGACGTCAACTCTGGAGAAGTCGTCCTCACGGCACATTTGCGTATGTTATACAATTATGAATCGACGATGCTAAAATCTAACAACAACAACCACCCACATGACACACATCTAATACAGAAAGAAGATGCTTGAAATCCAGTGCGGATTAACCCCTGGCCGTCCTCTTCATAGGTCCTTAATGAGTTGGTTATATTGACGGTACACACACGAGTACTCAGCAAGGCTCTTTTAACTAAGGACTAAAAGCTTGTGCTGAGCAAAGGCATCCGGGAGCTGTGGAAACCTAACCAGACTTTAAAAGCTTTCTCTCTGACCCCGTCGATAAACAGAACGTCCGGACAGGCAATACCCTGAATTTGAACTTTTCTCGAATTTCCTCATCAGGTGATATCAACAAGGGTTTCTACGATATGAAAAGTTAAAATAATTCAAACAAGCCACATTCCAGGTCCCTAATCGGTCTGTTAAGCGTAATTTAAAAATGCCAACATACAAAGGAACACCCGCAGACGGAAAACGGGAAGACCTTGCAAGTGCTGATTGGCTGGGTCACCAGTCCGAGCAATAGTTCACTCTGGCAATGTTCCCCGTCGCTTGTACTCTCTACGTTATATTAAACACGGCGAATTATACCTTCAAGGCTGCGACAAAATATAAAATGAACGGGAATTCTTGTGGAAATGCGGACCAGAAAAGAAGGCACTAAGCCGCCCAGACGATCGACATCTATTCTAGAATCCTGCCCATTCAACGTAGGCGACATGCAGCGTGGCAGAGAGTTGAATTGAAGCTGCCGGATTTTTAGAATCGCGAAATTTACGCTGATCGATAGGGGAAATATGGCATACTCAGGGTGACCGTAGTAGTCACCATCATGCTCACACTTCACTCTGTGTGAGGAATCTCCTGGTAAGTGTTATGCGAAAGCTAAACAAAGGGCAAAGTGCGGTTTTGGTGATGAAGTTGGCGTGGCTAGACGTCGTGGTGTGCCGCAGTAGTCTGTGTGATCATTGCAGCACTTTCGGGCGTGTGAGATCTGAAGCCCTCCTACAGTGGTTTGGTACGCGATGTGAGAACACGTTCGTGCCTGCCTTGCTGAATTTATTCCAGGTGCACTGCAGTGCAGGGAGCTGCGCAACAGATTCACTCGACCGAAGTGGAGTCCGGATGACTTGGCGCAGGCGTTGACCGGGAAGAGTGTGGAGTTGGCCGTCCATACATGTAGTGGCACGCCTTAGTTGCTCTTACGCCGCACCATCCACTGCGTCCAATCCCATCATAAGTTGCTTGTGAGACTCGCAGAGCGGACTATAGTGGGCATGATTGACATTGTAGGACCCATTCTTGCAGCACATTAGCTTATGCCTAACAGTAAAAAGGCCGAAGTGCTACAATGCCATCACGACAGGCTAACAGTCGTGGCCTGGCAAAGCTGCCATCTGACGGGATAGGTGAGCCCATCTTAGGTCTGAGTGTCCGGCTTCACCCACTCCTTCGTGTAGTTACTGTTATGGCAGTCTGATCCGCGTGAGATCCCAGCTGACCTCGCAGTGTTCAGGTGATTCTGCAGTCGCCGGCACGTTGCGCGTGCAGCACGTTTAGGCATTCTCTGATT